AGGACACCCCCCTGAGCGGGGACCTGAGCGCAGACGTTGAGCTGCTGAAAGGAGGTAAGAGCCGGGGCGCGGACCCCAGGCCATGAACACCCGGTCACGCAGCTGTCTCACCAGCCTCCTCCCTTCCCTCTGCAGGTCCCCTCCCATCCCCAAAAGAGCTCATCAACGGGAACATCAAAACCATCACCGAGTACCGGGAGGAGGAGGATGGGCGCAAGGTGAAGGTGAGTGGTGGGGCTGGGGAGCGGGCGCCAGCGGGCCCCACGGTGCACCGGGCTCCAGGCTGGAATCCTCCCTAGCCCCCGCTGAGAAATCCACTGGGTCCGAGCCAGCCTGTTCCCGTCCTGGGGCTGGATCGCTCCCCACAGCCCCTTCCCGGGGCAGGACCGTACATCCTGAGCAGTGGACCTCCCCTGACTGGGTGGCTTTGTTTGCTTTTCCCTTCCCTCCGCTTCCTCCTAATTGCAAGGACCGGCCCCACTAGGAATCCCCCATGTGCGGTGTTCCCAGCCCCATTGGAATGCAGGCGGGGCAGATGGCAGCTGGAAGCCGGAGCGAAGCAGCCAAGCTTGTCTCCAACTGGAGCATCTGGTTGCGGGCCCAGCGTCAGCACCGCTCCCCTTGGCACGCCGTGACCCCGCCTGCCCCCATGGCGCTCAGCGACTGGCACTGTCGTTCCTCTGCAGATCATCCGCACCTTCCGAATTGAGACCAGGAAGGCCTCCAAGGCTGTGGCACGGCGGAAGGTGAGTGGGCTCAGCGCTGGGATGGCAGGGCCACGAGGGGTTAATCCGCACGGGTCGTTTGCCTTGGGGGTGGCTTAGCAGATGTCTGTGCAGGGAGCTGGGAAATGCTTCCTAGCCCTGCCAGCTCACCCCAGGGCTCTGCTTCCTCCCTCATCTCACTGCCAGTCCCTCCTCCCATCCCCACGGCTCTCCTGGGAGCCCCTTGCCCTCACGCTGGGTTAGCCCTCTGCTGGGCAACGGGGGCTGCTGAGCCGGGGCAAGGGGTCAGAGCCAGTGGGGCTTTCCTGGGGCTACTAGGGGCTGGCCACGCTGGGGCTCCCACGCCTGCGGGGCACTTGGTGTCGTGTCCTGCTAGAGGGGGCAAGGCCCAGGGACGTGGGGGGGGGTGGGAGCATGTCCCCATTATCCCCTCAGCTCCCCAACACCCGCTGTGATCATTGGCTCTCGCCCAGAACTGGAAGAAATTCGGCAACTCTGAGTTTGATGCTCCGGGCCCCAATGTGGCCACGACCACGGTGAGCGATGACGTCTTCATGACCTTCATCACCAGCAAGGAGGTGAGTGGGGGCTGGGCTGACCGGGGGGCTGGAGTGGGTGAAGCAGGTCTCTGGGTGGCTAATGGGATCTCGAGGGGACCAGGCAGGGTCCGTCTGCCCAGCAGGTGGAGCTGGGCTACTCTGGGATGGGGAGGGGAGCCTTGGCTCGCCAGCTTTGGGGTAGTGGGGTGGGGGATGGGTGGGGGGATGTGGGAGCCCCAGTGGAGGGTTGGGGCTCCCACTCCCAGTGGGGAGGTCTCCCGGGGGCTGACGGCGCTGCCCCATCTGCTGCAGGACCTGAACTGCCAGGAGGAGGAGGACCCCATGAACAAGCTGAAGGGGCAGAAGATCGTGTCGTGCCGGATCTGCAAGGGCGACCACTGGACGACACGCTGCCCCTACAAGGACACGCTGGGCCCCATGCAGAAGGAGCTGGCTGAGCAGCTGGGCCTGTCCACGGGCGAGAAGGAGAAGCTTCCAGGAGGTGCGGGCAGCCCCATGGCCCTGGGCAGGGCAGGGTCACTGCCCGGGGGGTGAACAGGGCAGGTGGGAGCCCGGGAGTACAGTGGGGGATGGGCGGGGGGAGCAGCAGGGGCTCCCCAATGGAGGCTGAGGGGGATGCAGTGGGGGAGGGGGGTGCAGCGGGGGTGTGACTGTGCCCCTTTGCCCGTCTCTTGGTTAAATCGCCCGCCCTACACACGCGCTGACTCAGCTGGTACTTTGGCGGGTTCTGCTCAGGCGCGTATGTCAAAGCCTGTCCGCGCCCAACGGGTCGCCCAGCGTGGGGACTCGCTTGTGCTCGATTCACAGTCTCAGAAGGGGTGATGGATTCTTCGAACCCCCCCTGCCTGGGTGTGCAGGGCCCACTGTGGGGCTAGGGAAAACCTGGGAGCTGTGCCCCCTCATGTAGCCTGGCTGCCTTTCCTTCTCCCGGGCTGCTGCTGCTTTCAGGCCATGAGTCGCTGGTGGGCCGCTGTTTCCTGCCTCCCCCTCTCCGCTCTCCTTTCAGTGCCCCACGTCCCGCAGCCGCCTCCTCTGTGCAGCCCCCTTCTGGCCAGCTCCAACTTCGTGGCAGTTTTGCTGCTGCTCGTTTCTATCCTTTCTTTCGTTCTACTGCCTCACCCAAAATCAACACAAAACCCCCAAGCTGAGGCCAGCTCTGCCTCTTCCCAGGCGTCTCGCTCTGAGTCACTTACAAATCTCGTCTGCCAGTGCTCGAAGTGTGAGCCCCAGCCAGCCCCTGGTGCGTAAATCCTGCTGCGGCGCCGTGCCGCTCTCCTCGGGGAGCCCAGACCCAGAAGCCCCGTGTTACCCATCTGCTGCAGCTGGAGCGTAGGCTCTGTAATGGCTACCGGCTGCCCTGGCCCGCCTGCCTCCAGCAAACTCCCTGCTCTGCCAGTGCCTGCGAGGAAACATTCCCTGCCACCCAGGGGCTGCAGAGCCAGAGGGTGCTGACCCCTTGTCCCCTCGGGTGAATACTGAGCGGCCCCCCTTGTCCCCTTCCATCATCCCGAAAACCTCTGCAAAGTGAACCCAGGCAAAGCCCCTCTGCCGGCTGCTTGTTCTTTGGGGGCAGGCGCCAAGCTCAGGTCCCTTTGCCCTCTCCGCTGGCGTGATCACTTCGGTTGCCTTAGATGCAAATGTCCTTCTGTTGTCCTTTGCTTGTCAGCGAGCTATGGCACTTCCTCCTCCGCTTGTTAGCCTGGTCCCTGCAGACAGGGCAGTGCCCGTCCCTTGGCCTCGGGCAGGCAGGTCAATCCGCTGCCTCTATGGGAGATTTTAGGAACGTCTTTTCAGTGCGCACAATTGGTCACATGCAGCCCGACCAGCCAGCGGGTCGCCGGTGATTGTAGAGCTTACAGATACCGTTTGGCTGCTCCTCTGCCAACTGGCTTAAAGGCTCTTAGGGTCACGGGGTGTGTGTGTGCAGAGCAGGGCCACCCAGTGGGGGCTGAGGGGAAGGCAGGTCTCCAGGGAGGGGTGCAGCGGGGCTCCCCAGTGGGGGCTGAGGGGAGGGCAGGTCCCTGGTGTGGGGGGTGCAGCGGGGCTCCCCAGTGATGGCTATGGGGAGGGGGTGCAGTGGGGCTCTCCGGTGGGGGCGGAGGGGCAGGGGGGGGGGTGGGGGGGGGGCTCCCCAGTGGGGGCTGAGGGGAGGGCAGGTCCCTGGAGGTGGTTGGATGGGTGGGATCCGGGCCCTGCTCAAAGCCCTGTGTTCCTGCTCTCCCAGAACCGGAGCCGGTCCAGGCCCAGCAGAGCAAGACGGGGAAGTACGTCCCGCCCAGCCTGCGTGACGGAGCCAGCCGCCGCGGGGAGTCCATGCAGCCCAACCGCCGGGGTAAGTGCCGGGGCCTGGCACCCACCACGGGGCAGGGCTGAGCTGTGTCCTGGGCTGCAGACCAGGGGCCTTTCCACTTATCGCCACTAGCCTGGAGGGCAGCCTGGACTCACGGTCCTTTCCCAGCTCCGTGCCTCGGTTTCCCCACGTGCAGTGGGCTGACGGCACCTCCTGCAGGGTGCGTGTGACTCGCTGGACTGTTCCCCGCTCACCCAGCTTGGGATCCCCAGGGCTCTGGCAGCGCCATGCTGCTGGCTGCCCTGACCCGCCCCCCCTCTCCCCAGCCGATGACAATGCCACCATCCGGGTCACCAACCTGTCGGAGGACACGCGGGAGACCGACCTGCAGGAGCTGTTCCGCCCCTTCGGCTCCATCTCCAGGATCTACCTGGCCAAGGACAAGACCACGGGGCAGTCCAAGGTGAGGCCTTGGGGGGGAGGGGGCGGGGAGAACCAGGCCATGCCGGGCACTGTCCCACAACCCCCCCTTCTTTCTGGGGGTCCCAGGGACCGGAGTGAGCCCCCACCCTGCTCTCACCACCTGCTTCCTCCCCCAGGGCTTCGCCTTCATCAGCTTCCACCGGCGCGAGGATGCTGCCCGCGCCATTGCCGGTGTCTCCGGCTTTGGCTATGACCACCTCATCCTCAACGTGGAATGGGCCAAGTGAGTGCCAGGCCTGGGGCAGATGCGGGAGGGTCCCCTTGTGGCTGCCCCCTCTTGGGCTGCTCTCTGGCTACTGCCCCATGTGGGGCAGGGGGTGGGTTGGAGCGTGGGGAGGGGGAGGGTAGAGCTGACCCCTGGCTTTATTCCCCTTCTAACCCCCCCTCTTCCCCACACAGACCCTCCACCAACTGAGGCCGGCGCCCTGCCTGCTGCTGCGCCAGGAACGGCTGATGCTGTTGGGAGACTTGGTTGTTAATAAAGGTTCATCCCAGCCGGGCGTGTGGCGGTCTCACTTCCTCCCCCGCCTGCGCTGGGCCGGGCCAGCCCCCCTGCACATTTCTCAGCCGGGCAGGAAGCTGGGGGTTGTGGGGGCTGGCGGCAGCGAGCTCCATGTTATGCAATGCGGCTGGCGGGAGTGGGGGCTGACAGCCTCCAGCGTCCCAGCGCCGTGTGGCCATGTGACGGGCGCAGAGTCAGCAGCGCGTGGGGGGCTCACGGCCCTGCTGTGCTGCGGGGGCCGTGGTGACAGGCTCTGAGCTCTGCTCCCGCTTCCAGCCTGCGCAGGAGGTTGCGGATGCAGCCGGCCCAGGCGCTGTAAGAGAGCGACAGGACACCGCAGCCGGCTCAGACCCTGCTTTAATGGCCGATCTCGCAGGAGCCCAGCCCCTGCTGCGGTAACGGGGGTGTCACAAGCCCCCCTCGCTGGGGGGTTGGGGGGGGTTGGCGTCTAGCTGAGGAGGGAGGAGCTGCCTCCCCAGAGTTTGGGGCAGGCAGCCGGGGCAGCTGCTGTTACCCCCTGCGTGGTCTGCCCTGGGTTGCGGGGTGGGGGGAGCCAGCCCTGTGTGCTGGCAGCACAAAGGGGGGGGGAGGCTGGTTCCATCCCCGGTGTCAGCCACAGGCCTTGAGCTCCGTGTTCTCTGCGGACTGGCCCCTGTCCTGCCCGCGGGGGGCCCTGCACCAGCCCCGCATGCTGTCGGCCAGGGCGGCGTAGAGCAGCGGGTGGGCGCAGATGTTGATGGTGACCAGGATCTTGCTGAGCTGGTAGGCGGAGTGGACAAACAGCGCATGCTGGTAGTTCGGCGCCTTGCCCAGCAGACACTGCTGACGCAGGTGCAGGTTGAGGTTGCGCAGGGTGTGGTAGGGCAGGTAGGAGACAGCGTAGAGGGCCACCCCCACGCTCACCAGCCTCCCCACCTTGCGCTTCTCCAGCCGCGTGATGTGGGGGTTGCGGCAGACGGTGCGGAGGATGGCCGCGTAGGAGAAGAGCGTGAGCAGGAAGGGCAGCCCGCAGCCGAAGGCCGCCAGGAAGAGGCTGTAGGGCAGGTAGTGGGGCAGCTGCTCGTTCGTGGCGCTGCCCATGCACTCGGTGCAGTTCCCCCTGGGCTGCAGCTCCGAGAAGTGCAGGGTGGGGGCGGAGAGGCCGGCCACCAGCAGCCAGGCGGCGCCGCTCAGCAGCTTGGCGTGGCGCGGCTCCAGCCGGCCGTGCACCAGCAGCGGGTGCACAATGCCCAGGTAGCGGTTCAGGCTGATGCAGGTGAGGAAGAAGATGCTGCCGTACAGGTTGCAGCTGAAGAGGAAGCGCTCGAGCTTGCAGAGGGCCGGGCCGTAGCGCCAGTGCTTGGGCGGGTAGTAGTAGGCGGCCAGGAAGGGCAGGGAGAGGGCGTAGAGCAGGTCGCTGACTGCCAGGTTGAAGGAGTACACGATGCCCGTGTGCCAGGGGCGCTCACGCACCACGAAGCGGTAGATGGCGAAGGCGTTGCCGGCAAAGGCCAGGAAGAACTCCACCGTCAGCACTGGCCACATGTGCTCCTGGAACTTACTGAAGGAAGCATTGCAGGCCCCCGGCCCCTCAGGACCTGTAGCAGTCATCCTGGGGCAAAGGAAGGGGGGGCTGGGTTAGAGGTTCCCTGCCTGCACCTTGGGGCTGAGCTCACCCCTGCAGGCCGGATGCTGAGGTGGCCGGAGGGTCTCCGCCTAGGCAGGGAGAGGTGTGACTTTCACACGCTGGGGGGTGAGAACAGGCTGCGCTGGCAGGTCTGTTCCCTGCTTGGTGCTGCTGGAGGGGCCCAGCCAGGACCTCTGGGCAGCCAGTGCAGGTTGAAGAGGGGCTGGGACTGGCCACATGGTGCACCCAGTGAGCGGCCATAGCCAGACCCTTACATCATGGCTCCCCCCCCCCCCCCGGCCGCTGCAGGTGAGAGCAGCTGGAACATCCCTGAGGAACTCCCCAGGCTGCAGCTGGGTACAGTAACGCCTCACTTCACATAGTTCTGTTCCTGAAAAATGCGACTTTAAGCAAAATGATGTTAAGCGAATCCAATTTCCACATAAGAATTAATGTAAATGGGGGGTTGGGTTCAAGGGAAATTTTTTTCACCAGACAAGACTATATATATATACTGTTTATATATACATATATACACACACACATGCACTATAAGTTTTAAACAATTTAATACTGGTACAGAGTGATGATGATGGTGAAGCTTGGTTGAGGTGGTGAAGTCAGAGGGTGGGATATTTCCCAGGGAATGCCTTGCTGCTAAATGATGAACTAGCACTCGGCTGAGCCCTCAAGGGTGAACACATTGTTCATGTAGCCTCACTCTATAGGGCAGCAGGCATGGAGGGAGGGGAGACAGCAGCGCAGACAGACACACACACACAGTGTGTCTGAGGCTATGGCTACACTGGCGCTTTACAGCGCTGCAGCGTTCTCGCTCGGGGGGTGTGAAAAAACACCCCTGAGCGCAGCAAGTTTCAGCGCTGTAAAGCGCCAGCGTACGCTGGGAGCTAATCCCCTTGGGGAGGTGGAGGACCTGCAGCGCTGCAAGAGAGCGACCACACTCGCACTTCAAAGGGCTCCCGCGGCAGCACGTTGAAGTTTTGAGTGTAGCCAGGCCTGAGAGCGCGAGATGCACATTTCCCCTTTAAGGAGCTGACCCCACTGCCTTGTTAATTAGCTCAGCTTGCTGAGACGGCTGCTGCTGCCTGGAAGCTCCCTCTGTCCCCCCACTCTATGGAAATGGGGTAAGCGGGGTGCAGGAGAAGGGGCAGAGGGACACCCTCACTTCCCCCCTCCCCCCGTAGAGCAAGCAGGAGGCTCCCAGGAGCAGCACAGGGCAGTGGGGGGAGGAACTGCCGGCAATTGGTAGCCTGCTGGGCAGCTATTGCACAGGGAACTTAGGGGAGCAGGGAGCTGATGGGGGGCTGTCGGCCCACCCCGGTTCCAAGCCCCCACCAGCTCACTCCAACAGGCTGCTCTTAGTGGACAAAGCAGGCGGCTGCCAAACGAGCATGTTCCCTAACTGATCAGCAACGCTTAAGTGAGGAGTTACTGTACTGGGAGCAGCACTGCCCCCAGCCCCATGGTCTTCACTGCCCATTTCCAACAGGGGTTTAAGCCGGGGGGTCTGCCCATGCCTGGCTGTGAGGGGCTGGGCCCAGCTCAGTCACCGCTGCCCCCCACCCCCCCAGGGCAGAGCCACTCTTATGGTTTAGAACCTTCTCCCCACCATGTGCTCCCCTGGGCCTGCTGCCTGCCCCAGAGCCACAACTGCTCCCCCCACCCCTGCGAGCCGGTGCCCCCAACCCCTGGCTGCTGCACGGCCAGCTCGGGGGACAGCCGCCCCCCCAAGATGCTGCACCTGTGAGGTGTCTCCTCCCCCTGCCGGCCGCCCCCAGCTCAGCATCCTGCTCTGCTCCCCCCATCCCCACAGCTGGTCACTCACCCTGCCCCCCTGCAGCACAGGGGGCTCAGCTCTCCCCCCCCCCAGACCCGCTCTGCCCTTGGGGGCTCTAGGGCCAGAACCATCCCAC